TGGACATCCTGTAGAGCATGGTCGCTATCCATCTTGGTGAACGCTTCGTCGCCCATGTCGCGAGCGCATTGTGACCGTTGTCCATGTTGGCAAGCGGTGCTCGACCATGTCACTAAGAGCCCGTTGATCGTCCTTGCCCACGAGCGCTTTCAAAATGTTAACTACATGCTTAATTCATTAATTAATGACCTACCTAATTCTATCCATGCCTAATTAACTGTCAACCAAATTAGTTAATTTCTACAAGACCTACCAAGTATTGTAGGACACATTTTATTAACGAATTTCATGACTTTTGAATGGTCATACTTTATTTCAGAATGTAGCCTACATGTCTCTCTGTATGACTGAGAAGAAATATAATATAACCGCGTTCGCGAACGTCTGTACACGGCGGTCCGACGACCCGTCTTCCACCACGGCCGTCCTTGATGTCGTGCTCCACGCCCTGGCATTCTTAAGCATCACATCAACGACAGGCCCTACCATGACGTTTTTCATGGTGTCGCGCACGGCATCCCTCCTCAGGGGCGCGTGGATGCATACACCATAAGAAAAAAAGATAATGTATGTTATTGTTGTTGCATCAGGAAACTTGCAATTGTCAATTAATACTCCATCCATTCCTAAATGTAAGTCTTTTAAGATATTTCAATATAGACTACATACAAATGTATATAGATAAATTTTAGAATGTAGATTCGCTCATTTTATTCCATATGTACTACATATTTGAATCTTTAAAAAGACTTATATTTAGGAACATAGTGAGTATTGCCAATAGTACCACCTCATACTAGGCAATAAATATTGGAGAATTACAATTCGAAAAAAAAACATAGTAGGATATAACTCCGCAATTACCTGCTTCCATTCGTATTTATTTTGCCACCAAATTTGTAAACTTTTCTAAAAAGGAGAAAAATAACCTTTGACTTATGCGCATTGAGCTGTCCTTTAATGAGGGTTCATATTATGGAAAGGTAATAAATAATTTCGATTATATTGCTCGATGCTTACTGCCCAGCCGGGATCTCTCTTCTCTCCACCTCTCTCTCTCTCTCTACATATACGGGTCATGTTATGTGCTGTTTGCTAGCAAGTATATTTCTCATCGACAACCAAAGAGATCGACAGCCGGGTGTGCTATGGACAAGCACACGATTCGCATCCTTGCACTAGCTCTACTGTCTCTACATCTCGTATGCTCTGCTACCGTTGCTCAATGTAAGCACACCAATCGGGTTCAATTTTTCACTCATCGAAGTATGTACGTATGTAGTACTATACCCAGTGAATGTCGCCTTTTTTCTTCTTTTTTTGGTCTAAATAATCTGTTGCGCATTTATTTATTCCGCTCTAAAATATATTATTGCATAATAATTGTTCGTTTGTCATTCCATAGGTCGAACCATGGCTGACACGGATAGCGAGAAGATCAATTTACCAAACGGGCTATGCCATAAGGTAGCTCCGTATCGATGCGTCAACGAGTGCTTCTGTTGCTTGGTAGATGACTGGTGCTACTCGACAATGGATGAGTGCGCGATAAAGTGTAAATGATCCTCGTCTTTTTCAGAAGACATACTAGCTAGTGGCGATGGCATCCCCTCCATTACCTGCTCCTTAATTTCGCAGCCTAGTCAAATTGGCTTACATGCATATTTACTTGTCCCGAGAAACAAATAATGCCTGATATAGTATTTGGTTTGCAATAAGATTGAGTAATACTCTAGCAATTGTCGCCGAGTATTTGGTTCGGCAAAAGAATGGAATTCCAATAGAATCTCTTTGTAATTTGACGAGAAAAGTGCCAAATAGAATGCCTGATATATACTTGGTTTGCAATAAGATCAAGTAATACTCTAGCAATTGTCGCTGAGTATTTGGTTCGGCAAAAGAAGGGAATTCCAATAGAATCTCTTTGTAATTTGACGAGAAAAGTGCCAAAAGTATGAATTTGTACCAAGTGTAGTTTGCCCCACTAACAATAGTGTCTACGGCTCTACGCCAACCCTTGTCTCTAGGACGACATTGTCGTAGGGGCGGCGCCGTCATCAAACCCATTAACATGCATGGAAGGTGCGTTTGCTCGCATGGTCCACGTGGCAATCTCATATCTAAAATATGAGCCTCGAACTTTCAGTGAACTTCGATTCATCAACATCTTCTCATATAGTATTTGCTAGTGTTTGCCCATCACGATGGATCATGGGGCAACCTTCCACACCACACTGCAAAACAACTAAAACTCTCCTCTACCGGTTAAACTTCTCCCACATGAGGAGCTTATTAGCATCGTTTGCACGGACGATGTACATCGATAGGAAAAATTATTTATGTCCAATGCTATCTTCATAGCGAATCAAAACTGGTTCACTGGGGTAATTAATTGCCCCGGACGGTGACCTGCCATTGTTGACAAAAAAACACTAACTACTTACGTAGTACTCCCTTCGTTCGGAAATACTTGTCGGAGAAATGGACAAGTATTTCCGGACGGAGGGAGTACTACGACGGGGCAAACTCAGCCATGACCTACCTATCTTTTTGTGTGGTGTCCGGGCATGGATCCACACATCGCTAGCTGAAACACACAAACTAACCCAGGAAAAAAAAACGTGCATGAATCTTAAAGTGACAATCAAAGGCCAAAAAATCGACTGGACTAAGATTTATTTTCAGGCAACTTGCATGTAGCTAAAGTGAGAAAGAAAATAGTCTTAGCACCAAGTCTTTTTATTTCAAGAAGAAAACCTTCGGATATCACGGCTTCAGGAAATACCACCAAATCATCTCCCCGTCGCATCAAAGTAGGGATAGTAGCTGCCTTTTCCAGGGCAAAAAAACAAGTTAGGCTATCCGAGATTTGCTCTTTTTTCCAGCTCTTTGGAGTGAAAATAAGGAGGAACTTGTGATTGGTTTTCTACAGGGAAGAGAGATACCAAGCCGGGCAACTTCCCCTACTAACTACTGAACACAAAAGCCAAGGTGACCCAAAACAATTATTTCACTTATTTCTAGTTTAAGAAGGACCTTGTGCGCGGTTCACGACTCCCGGTGCTTAGAGATGCGGTTCACTACAACAGTGGTAAGAAAAGCAAGAAAACAGGTATCAAGAGATGGAAGTGAAAGAAGAACTGTTGATCGACCGGTGGTTTGGGTCTTGCCTTTTAGGATTCGGATTCCTATTGAATTGACTTTGCATACCCTTCCTCGTTTTCGTCCATCTCCACTATTCAAAGCGCTACTGCACATAAGTCTACAATGTTGAAAGTCGAAATAAAGAAGCAGAAACGTCAAAACACTGGCAAGCCAAAGCCAACCAACCACGGGCTAATCGGTAAATTGTCCACACCATCTTAATACCATGTTTGCATCTCACTACAATGAAACATAGCGCCAAAGGGGATTTTCCAAGGGCATGGTGACCCACAAATTTCCAACCGTCCGCGGACACGGATGGGCGACTCGCGAGTACGCCATGTTGCCATCCAATCGAAACCGCATTCATTTTGACAACAACTCAAATCAGCCAGATGAAATTCATGCAAACAAGGCCGGATTTCATATAAACATGACGGATTTCATATGAAAATGCCGGTTTTTCATATAAACACGACGGATTTTATTACATTTACATCAATTAAGCGGTGCTAGTCCGGCTCTGGAGGTATAACTAATATCTAATTTATGGACGCCCGCGGATCCTTTTGTCTTTCTCATGTCCGGCAGCCCGATCACCAGACTGTTGGGAGCCCCAGAGATATATGCTTCAGCGCAAAGGACGGCTCGCTTTCCCACCGCTCATCAGAGTGGAACCCCTCGGTTGATGCTTCAGCGGGAGGGGAAGGGGGCGCCTCCTCTTTCGTGGAGCCCATGCGGGGTTGAAGATGGTCCTCGCAAAAGAAGAACCGGGCAAGACACCGGTTGTGTATGCCGACGTCGCCTCGGTGGTGGCCTTCATGGGCCCCAGCGGCGGCGGCCTCCCATGCTCTACTTCTCCTCGATGATGGTGGCCGACGCAGAGGCATGGGCCACCGACTCATCGCTCTCCGCGCACCCGACTTCTGTCTCTGCATGCATGGCTCGACTGCATGCAGGGGAGGCACGGCCACAGATAGGGCACGGGGGGCGTGGTATGATGTGACATCATCGACGGCAGCGACGACGCCTGTGCCAGCGTGGAGCAACTCACCACTCCTCATCGAGCTAGCCTAGAGCTACGAGTTGTTGAGCCACGCGTCGGCTTGGGGCGGCAACTAGCTCCAACTAGCTGCCTCGCTTGTATCCGGCGGAGGCAGTGAGAGGTTGTGTCTTCTTTGAGCCGCCTTCAATGTGGGGCGGCGCGCTCTACAACGCCATAAATGCGGGCAACTGGCGCCGAGAGGGAAGCGTGCGAGAGGAGGGTTTGGTGGGTCAGGGCGGTCAAAAGCGGGTTTGTGATCGGTCCGAACTCCCGCAAACCTCTTCATGTTTGTCTACGGTTTGCGGACCGATACATAATCATGTTGGATGGCTTTCATGGTCCGGACAGTGCGGTGCAAACAGTTGCCGGAGGTTTGAGGGTCCGCGTTGAAGATGCGCTAACAACTCTAATCATCGCACCAAAGAGGATTGAACCTAATTGATTCTATTGTTCCAAATGTGTTGGGAACAATAACACATTTTATTAGTACCTTTGCTTAGCGAGCCAAAAGTCCACCGGGAAAAGACGGTTCTACCCCCGGGGGCCCAAAATATCAAAAGGGGGAGAGATTTCCCTGGCCGGTGGCACCACACGCGAAGCCTGACCATTTCCATTTCTGCCCCCGGTTCTTCCCCCCTCGCGCCCACCACGACGGCGGGCCGACGTCGTTCCCCTCCGCCGCCGCCGGCGCGCTGACCGCCCGCCGTGTCCCCGGCCGTCCTCCTCCCCGACGCCCTCGCCTCGCTCCTCCGGTTCGCCCACCAACCTACCAACCCGGGCCCCGATCCGCGCGGAGGGAGGGGGGGAGGAGATGGCGGTGGTGCTCGCGTGGCTCAACGCCAGGGTCGTCGACCCCCTGCTGCAGGTGATCCAGAGGTGAGGCCCCCAGGCGCCCGGCTCTAGTTTCTGTTTCGTCGGCATCTGGTCGCCGGTCTTCATCGCTTCTGCTTTGGTGGTTGGCCGGTGCAGGGGCGCGGAGCCGAAGCAGCTCGCCTTCTCCGCCGCGCTCGGCGTCACCATCGGGGTCTTCCCCATCTGCGGTACGTACGTGTTTGCTCCTGGATTTTCCCTTCTTCCCATCGACCAAGCCGGACGTATTATTCAGTTTACCAACCGGGTTCAGATTCGATGGTTCATTACGCGTGGCGTGTCGGCGCAGCAATATAGGATCCGATGTGTGCGTGTGCGGCCATGGTTGACGAGAACACGGCTCAGCTCCTGGGAAACACAGGGATGCACGGCACCATGCTATGAGCCGTTCATTTACATCTCGGGGACTCCAGGCGATGTCTCTCCATTCAGATGTATTCAGTGTTTTGCCTGCTGTGGTCTCATAACTGAATCGTGCGCGTCATGTCTCCCTACCTTGTTGTCGTCAACATGGTTGGGTTTAAGATTTTACAGAGCTGAATTGTCACAAAAAAACACCTGACAAATTACAGCTAGTGGCTTAGGCAAACCCTCTTCCAAGTTGTTGAGGTTCAGTACTAGTCTGATGGCACTGGTGTGCCATACGACGTGTAGTTATTGTACGCGTTTTGGTTGTATTGCTAGTCTTTTCATGATATTTCTCAAAGCAACTTGATGTAACCTGACCCTTCATTATTGCAGGGACCACTGTTATTATCGGTGGACTTGCTGTGGCCATGTTAGGAGCTCGTTGCAATGCCGTTACTGTCATGGTTCTCAATTTAGCTGCCACTCCTCTTGAGCTAAGGTAAACACGCACTCAGCATTAAATACAGTAAATCAAATTCCATTTTATGAATTATTTATAAGAATAGTTGCTGGTTCTATGTTGATATCTGGAAATAGTTGTCGGTTCCGAGTTGATCTTGATTTATAGGCATAGTTGTTGGTTCTATGTCAATTTTTGAACTTAAATTATATGAACAGTTGTTAGTTCCATGCCAATCTTTATGTATAGGAATAGTTGTTTGCCCTCTGCCCTGCCAAAAGATACAGACTTAAGCTCTATACCACTAAACTATGTTGTTTCATTTAAATACTACTCAAACTTCGTTCTGTCATTTTCATCCACTTAAGGCCAATTTTTTGTTCTCTGTGCTATCATTTGCCCTTTCTAAAAACAAATCACATTCATTTACCTTGTATATAAAAGTGAGGGTGTACAAGACTCCACATAGCTCAAGTTGTGCTCATAAGTCATAACATGGCAGATTCGTGTGCTCAATTACCTCTTTTGGGTTTGGTAGTCTCAGATTCCTTGTTCATAGGACTTTATACGTAACATGCATTAGAGTGCTGATACCCCAAATCCGCTTTGTTGATTATGATACTTGAAAAAAAGTGGCTGGTGTTAATGCATGTGTTGTCACTAGTTGCCTTGTATGATGGTCTCAAAAAAACAGATATCCTTTTCATGACTTGTTTAATGCCAAACAAAGTTCTTCAGTAGACTAATGTATTTTCTTTAGTTTGGCTTTACAGTTGCATTGTGATAGACGTTTCAATCTAAATGATTAAATATAATTGGGGGGTAAATATTATGCCAAAATAAGCTATTTTGTAAGGAAAAAGTGGGAGGCCATGCTCTATATCTCCAGGGACTTGTTTCTTTTTTAACAGGCTTTGATCTTTGAAATTTTGCATGGATACAACTTGCGACTTCCTCTGTTAATATTTATTTAAAAAATTGGAAAATTTGTTCCCAATGGTTCGCTTATTTATTGCATTTTCATTCCCGTTGTACCTAGCACAGCAATCGTAAGCTATAAGCGATCATTTTTAATTTATTTAGAGCTTTTTTTGAGAGAGAGAAAATTTGTTCCCAATGGTCACTGATTTGTTGCATTTTCACTCCCGTTGTACCTAGTGCAGAAATTGTAAGCTATAAGCAATCATATTTTAATTTATTTAGAGCTACCAATGAACTTTCTTTTCACCGGATCCTCCCTATATCTGGTTTCAACGCATTTGGCAGTGTCGTTTCCTGATTACGTTTTCCTCAGCTTGATCATTCCTTTCTTGCGTTTGGGAGAAATAGTCACGGGCGGTGAGCACTTCCCCTTGACATCTGATGCATTCAAGATGGTCCTCACTGGCCACGCCTCAAAGGACGTGCTACTCAGCATTTTTCATGCGGTTAGTAAAATTGCTTCAGCCATCAAGTTTACCTCACCCATAAGAAATGAGCATTGTGTCGTCTTGTTCTCAGAAACAGTACCATGACCGTTGCCATTGTTGAACGAATACAGATTCTTGGCTGGATTGTTGCTGCACCGTTTGTGATGGCTGGGCTGTACACCTTGTCCGTCCCTTGTTTCAAGTACCTGGTCGGCAGGTTTGGCGTCATCCCTTCGAGCCCCAGGACGCCGATGAAAGCGGTATAACGTAGCTGTTTCCCCCTAAAGCAACTTTATTACGTTTCTGAAGCCATGTGCGTGAATTCCTTATATTGCCCGACTGAGACGGCCCGGCCGTCCTAACTTCTGAACGCCGGCGCACAAATAGGCTTGCAGAGGCATATACTCGTATCTGTTAGCGTGCCACATGTTGAGCGGAGGTGGTGTAATTCTCAATATATTTTTAAGCTGTAGCAAACCTTTCCTTTTTTTTCTCTTCTTCTTACAAACAAGTGTGCGACTCGATTCACCTGTTTCAAAACCGATGATATTTATTCATTCATTACTTTGGAAGCTATGGCCTGTTCATTTGGTTTGAGACATGCTTCTGTTTTATCTCTCCTAGGTTTTGCTTTGCCCGAATGAATCTGAATCCGAATCCGAAAATGGGGCAGTACCGTTGCTCGTCCACGCCGACTGATCTTGTGGCGCGTGTCATCTGGACATCATCAGCCATTCTCACCTGCATTTGTGTCTCATGGCACCATGTTATGTAAACTGTGGGCATGTTTGTGTTGTCTGACTGTATTGTGTTAACTGTTACGTACTCCCGATAGGGGCAGCTCGCGTATTCTCGCGGAGCTGTAGGCTGATATGTATATATAGTATATATAAAGGTAACAATTGTTGTGTATGATGCTATCTCTAATAAGTACTACGATACAGCAACATGGAACATCTGCAATGCACAGGAGTTCGGACGAGCCTGACTTGCACGTGATTCTGGAGCAATAACCATGCTTTGAGAAGATGTAAATCCTCTGAGCAACTCGCCGTTAAGAAAGTCATTCCGCATAAACATGTGAGATGGAATGCCACAGGAAGAAGATGGTGAACAGTGGTCACATGAACAACAGTTTTAAGACTGTCATATTATATGACACTAAAAAGAATGGAGGCCTTCTGGGCCTTATGGACAGTTTGATCATGAGGCTGGATTCTCCTGCTCCCATATGTTTATTGCCATATACTCACTCCTTTCCTAAATTTTTAAGTCTTTTTAGATATTTCAATATGGACTAGTACATACGGAGCAAAACGAGTGAATCTACGCTCTAAAATATTGTCTATATGCATCTGTATGTAGTCCATAATGAAATCTACACTCTAAAAATATGTCTATATATACTACATGTTGCATTCATTCCACATGGAGATTGTTAATCAAACTCTCCTGCTAAGAGCAACTCTAGCAGACCCCGCACAAACTTGACCCGCAAAACGCGTTTGCAGTTTCACGAAGATCGCGTTTGCGGGTCGGAAACTAGCGCGGCCGAACAGATACTGTAAAACTGGAATAAAGAGCTCCTTCCTCCAGTCCAGCCGTTGCCGCCCCTTCCTCCAGCCCGCCGCGCCCCGTCCCTGCCGGTCACACCCTTCGCCTCCGTCGTCCGCGCCTAGCCTTGCCGGCCACGCCTTGCTCTATTGCCAGGCGAGCCATGCCCCTTTGCCTGCCGCGTCGGGAGGATTTCGGCGGCCAGGCTGAGGTCATGGGAGGCCACGACGATGTCGAGCTCGTCCAATTCGAACCGGCGGCGATCGATTGCGGCGTCTAGCGGCCTTTTCCGATGTGCGGTGATGAATTCCGGCGAGTTTAGGGCAGATTCCGGCAAACTCTGCGGCGGCGTGTTTGCTCCGACGAGGCTTGACCTGTATACGGGGCCCCCTATATTCAGCCCTCCAACCTCCAAATATAAGGGTTTCGGGCGTGCATTTGCGGTGGCCCTTAAAAATTTTACGGGTTGGACTACTTTTACGGTTTCTGTTCTGGACATTTTTTTCGCCCAAAACTGTAAAACACAAATTTTTTGCGGGTTTGACCACTTATGCGGGGTCTGCTAGAGATGCTCTAAGTAATTCCATGATGGAAATCATTTAGCTTTTATCACCTCCAACTTCTCATTGTGCAGTAAACTTGCACTAAAGCAAGAAAGAACAAATAATTTGGCCACCAATTAGAGAGCCCAGATGCAAAACCTCATCGTAACATGCTGCAGCAAACTAGCTCCAAGAGCTTTTCTTCAGCTGCCTCTTCTCACTTTGTCAGCAAGGAGCATTAGGAGTGGGTGGGTGCAACAAAAATCATCTCTTCCAATAGCACATACTGGTCTGAAATATATATAGCAACATGGACATACAAGACTAGTTTTGGTTTACCTGTTGATCCAAAGGAGACCGGGATATAACCACCTCTTACAATCACGTAGTCTGATCGCCGACCAACAACACAGGAGGAGCCCCATATCAAACACACGATCATCGGTCGATTCGTACCAATAAGGTATTAATTTGTGCATCAAGAAGCGATAGTTTTTTGAACAGATAGTGGCTACGACGACATTACGCATTCGAAACAACATAACTGAAGAAATAGCCATAAGGAGGGGAGGGGAGAGTCTCTATTGCTACCAGTACCAAGTACCAACAGATACCTTGATATACCTGCTGCTTATGCGCTAAGAGCATGTCTGCCTGTCGACACGACACATATATAATAGGGTTGAGGAACCATGTTGGATGGATCACCAGTAGTCGCCGCAGGAGCACTTGCCCTCCTTGAAATGGTGGAACCGCTTGTTGTCCCTCACGATGAGCTCCCGCCCCACGATCCTCGACATGATCTTGATGGCGTTGTGGCAGTCCCCGCAGATCCTGAGGTTCTTGATGATGCGCAGCGGGGTCCTGGCCGGGGTGCTGATCAGGCCGTAGGCGATGGCCAGCCGCTCGCTGTGGTACAGCAGCGCCTGCTCCTTGGCCTCCTGGTCAATGTCGTGGAGCACGTACCTCGTGTCGGGCACGTAGCGCTGCTCGTTCACCACCTTCTTCTCGATCTTGGGCGGCAGCCTGTACTCCCCCAGCTTGTTCCTCCCGTCCAGCATGTTGATCCCGAGCCGCCGCTTCGGGGGAGGGGTCGGGAGCTTCTTGGGGTTGGCCTTGGAGGGGTCGAGCGAGACCAGCAGCTCCTCCGCCCGGTCCTCGAGGTCAATGTCGCCGTTCATGCGCGCCAGGTTCAGCAGCGACTCCCAGATCATGGCGTTGGGCTCGAACGGCAGCTTCTCGATGTACTCCACGGCCTCGTTGAGGTGCCCCGACTTGCCCAGCACCTCGATGACCCCAACATAGTGCTCCATGCCGGGCTCGATGCCGTGGTCCCTGGACATGGCGTCGAAGTAGAGGAAGGCCTCCTCGATGGCCTCCGAGTTGGCGCACGCGTCGAGCACGAGCGCGAAGGTGCGCGCGGTGGGCGCCATGCCGCACCGCTTCATCTCCTCGAAGAGCTGCAGCGCGGCGTCCCCTAGCCCGTTGCCGGCGTAGCCCTCGATCATGAGGTGCCAGGAGGCCATGTCCCGGTCAGGCATATGGTCGAACGTCCTGCGTGCGTGCGTCATGTTGCCGCACCGGCCGTACATCTCGAGGAACCGGTTGTTGAGCTGCAGGTCGGCCCGGAACGGCGAGCGGAGCAGGTAGTCGTGCACCTTGCGGAGCTCCTCGAGCAGCTTGGGCGTGGAGCAGGCGCCGGCGAGCTCGTAGAAGGACGCGGCGTCGGCGCGCGCCCCCTTCTCGAGCAGCTCCACCGCCTCCTTGGCCCGCCCCTCCCTGCACAGCGCCATCAGCTTCTCCGGCCCCGCCGCGGGCTCGGGCGGCGGCGGCCCCTGCTGCTGCTGCTGCTGGAGGTAACTGTTCTTCGGCGGGGGAGGGCCCTGCTGCTGCTGCCGAGGGGCCGGGGCGGGCGGCGGCGGCCCGTAGCCGTGGCGCGGCGGGGGAGGGGGAGGCCCCTGCCGCTGCTGTTGCTGCTGCTGCGGGTAGTGATTGCTCCACGGCGGGATAGGATCCAGCTGCTGGGGCGGGGGCGGAGCCGGGGGAGGCGGCCCGTAGCCGTGGCGAGGCGGGTAGTTGCTCCTCGGCGGCGGCGGAGGAGGCCCCTGCCGCTGCGGCT